ACCAAAATTCACAGAAAAATACCAAGTACTCGATTTTTAATGATTTTTCCAAGTTTTGGATCAGATTTTCAAATTAACAATTAACATAGTTACAGACCTTATTTTGACTTGAAATTTTACAAAACCTATATCATCATCAGAGGGTCATACAGTTAAATTTTCGCAGCAATCGGATGAGTATACGATTTTAGGCGATTTTTTGAATATCCAGCAGCATCACTCGATTAAAAAACGCATAACCAACAAATTAATCAACAATTTCGTCTAAGGCCTTCATCATAAGGCCAAAGACTTCAAATGTTCCAATAAATCCACAGCCTTTTCACGATTTAAAGCATTAATCATATAAATCGCACGTAACGATATCATACGCACTGTAACCGATAAAAGAAAATAAATCTTAACATGAAAGACCAATTATTTCCAGCACTTAAATATCACATAGATACAAGAATAAGGGGGGTTTTATAGCCGGGTACCGTTCTCGGGAATGTCGAACAAAAACAAAGATTGAACGGGCCAAGGAGCAGCGACGGGCGATCGACGGGGCTCGGCAGCTTGCGCGTGGCTCGCCCGAGTGGTCGTCGCGGGTCTGCTGAGTGTTGGACGTCCTCGGATCGCTCGAACAGCAGCCTGGGACGATCCTCTACTCGCGAACGGGGCAGAGGACGATCGATGGTGACGCGCGAGGGGACGGCGGATGGCGATCGCGGGCAGCGGACGACACGCGATGAACGATCGGACGGCCGGTGATGGCTGGAGAGAAAAACCGAGAGGGAGAGACAGCGAGAGAGATGGAGAGAGTTTGCGTGGGTGAAGGGAAAGAGAGAAAAGGAAGCTGCGTATAAATGAGCTAAGGGATTCTCTTCCCGTACATATAAGATTAGATTAAACTCAATGACTTAGCCAACAAGTAAGCCAAGTAAGAGAGAGCAAGTGATCGAGAGAGAGAGGAGAGAAAAGTTTGCTGGCAAAAAATATTTGGACGAAAGGGGATCAATCACTTCCTCATATAGGCTCCCTTAGGCATGGTAAGACTCCAAAATTATGCACTTACCATAAACATCACAAGGAAGGAAAAAGGAAGGTTCCAAATTGATTTACTTACCAAACATACAAGAAGAAGAGAGGGAGGGGCGGCGGCTAGGTCTTGTCGTGGCCACGGGCGTGGCTCGGCTTAACCCGAAGTCCGGTTTGACGATTAAATTAAATTAAAATAAATAATATTTAAAATAGCATTTAATAATTATAATAAAATCTCCACAATTAATATTTATTTAATATACACAATTAGGCACATAAGTTCATTTAGGCAATTAAACAATAGCAATAAATATTATTGGCAATAATAATAATAGTAATATTAATAATAATAATAATAATAAAATCCAATTTATTCATAAACGAACGGGGCGTTACAGTCTACCCACCTTACAAAGAATTCTGACCTCGAAATTCGAAAACAAAAGGAACTAATGAACTAATAGAATACACAGACCCCTAAAATGATAAGTTAGGGAATCTCCCCTAATCTCGGCATTCAACTCTCAAGTCGTCTCAGACTCGTCATGTCAGCCCCACAGCACCTTCCTAAGGCTCACTGCCCGGTTCCTCAGCCGATAGACACCCTGGTCCAAAATGGCCACCGGTACCTTCTCATAAGTAAGGTCTCGCTCGACCTACAGTTTGCCGAAGTCCACCACGTAATCCGGGTCATGTACATCTCTACGCGACATCGAGACATAAACACAGCATGCACCCCTGGTAAATCTGGTGGTAAAGCTAGCAGATAATCCAAGTCAACGACTTGAGTAAGGATCTCAAAAGACTAACTGTTCACAACAGCGGATCCTCATTTCCCAGACCGAGGTATATCACACCTCTAATCATACGAAAGGGGAAAACTCGAACGGTACCATCTATATACCTGTTCAAAACACAAGACGGCTCACCCAAGGTGAGGAATCGCAAAAATGCCTCACACAATATGCACACATGACCCCAACAGGTCTCATAGTGCCTCGACCGTGATATCCTCGGTCAAACAATCGTGGTCGATACGTGGAGTTGAGTTTCAGCATGGTGCCCGGGTCACGCCAAAAACTTACCCACGATCTCGACACACTCGTGACTTCTTGCTGAAGCAATTGTCACGGTAAATGTGCAACCATGCACGCAATATAGCCTCGCTATACTCATACTCACAACACACGATTCTACTATACAAACGTAACCCCTCATGGCTTCGTTTGCTGACAACACAAATCTCCGATTTCACCATCTCGAGGAATCCTCGTATAGGCATAGGAAACCTATCGGTCACGCTTCCTCATCAACACTGTCGATCAAGGATGCAAACACGGTACGGTGGAACTTGGTACTCTCGGTGGTCAAACCGTCCCAAAGGAAAATAAATTGGACGTTTGAGTTGTTAATGCACTATCCTCCGAAAGGCTACACGCTCGCAGGCGCTGCATATGCGGGGCGCCAGGACGCTCACGTGCAACCATTCGGAAACTAGCCGCAAGGTCAAGGTTTGGCCGATCACGCTGGCCTGGGAGTTCCGTGTGTCTGGTGATGGCAGCTGCAGCTTGCGTGTGAGTCAACGATCGGCCATGCACAAACCTCTCGTCTATCAACACAGGCGTACACGCTTGACCACCACTTCGTGGCTACACCCAGTCTGGTTCGGTTTTTGGTTCAAGGTTTCAATAGGAAAATTTAATCCATGGTTTTTCTCAAAAATGAAAACTTTCTGAATTGGGATTTCACATAAGCTAAAGCAATAGCAAAAAAAAAAAAAAGAATCTTCCACTAAAACGTTTACCAATGGGGTTTAGATCA